TCAGATGGGGACTGGACAAGAACGGTTACCGCGTGGCGGAAAGTGAAGATCCCCGCCAGAAATCGCCGGAGAGTGGCGTAGCGTACACTGACATTGACTTCAATTCGTCTGAGGTTGCAATTGCTGGACTTGCGGTTAAACCCAAAGTGGCACGGGATGCCCAGCCTAAGACACTGTCCAAGAAGATGAAGTCTAAAGTCAGATGGGTATTGGACTTGAACGGTTACCGCATCGCGGAGACTGAAAATCCCCGCACTCGGCCGACAGAGCGTGGACTCATCTACACCGATGTCGACATCAATCCGCCCGACGTGACAGTTGGTGGAGTTGCGGTGAAATCCAAGTTGGCCAAGGAATCAACTCTCTACGCTCAGATTACATAGAATTGTTGAAATAATAACCCCTCTACGAATTATAAAAATTATTTTTGAGAACAGGCTTTATCGTTGTTAAGTGTAACATGTCTTAGTCTGTCTTTTTGCATTATTATCGAGAAAAGACTGAGTAGAAAAGTTAACCCAGTTAGTTTGAAATGAATATTAATTTTACGAAAACCAAGCTCTCTAACTTTGGTGACCCTCAGTTCTTGCGCCACTGTAAGGATATTTCTGAAGGGGTGACGGTTTAAATCCATTGTCCATTTTCGTTGTCAAATACAAAAGCTGAAATTGAAAATTGATGCCGTATCAGGAACTTGTACTTGTAGGATGTGTTATACTCATGTTTTGGGCTTTAGTTTTCTGTAGAGCTAGCTATAGGCCTTACGGATGCAGTATTTGTTAACAGTAGATATTCAGTTCAGACCCACTTCTCTGTTCTACAGAAAAGAGTCATTACGAGAGTTTACTTCCGGCCAGTCGGAAAGCAGGACGAAATGACTAAGTTTTTACTGGTTTGTTACTCTCTGCTTTGTTCATGAACTGTTGGAAAGAACAACTTACTTTTTGTACATCCGGTTGTATAATGTTATGGTCATTATTGGGGTTTTTTTGAAGACTGCAAACCTGTTCAATTCAATTTTTATATAACGCGATAATACGAACGAAGTGCCAACAGGGTTGCTGCTGAGTGATGGAAGTCTTTTTTCCGAAGTTCGAGTTCGTTTGTATCATGTAAGGTTTAACCCGGCGCAACATTGCTCAGCATTTTATTTTTATTTTTTTATTACGCAGAGTAATTACCGGTATGTTGAGTGTATTTCATTGGCTTACCACCTTGATACTTCTAATTTCCAAAATGAAAACGGCGAGTTGTTTTGTTACACTTGGTCATACGTGTTAGCTCACAAACACTCCAGTAGACAGACCGTGTCGTTTATGTGGAATACCTGCTTCAGCGCATGCTGAAGGGAATAAAATCATCCCGACCTATTGTCCTTGTCGTTGGAGCGCCACACAGGCATTCCGGTTTGTCATCGTATCCTACGCTTTCTATTCGAGGCCACAGTACGTTACGATGGGAGAATCCTGGTGGCTTTCAAACCACTCTTTTGTGAGGAATGACCAGTCACCGAAGTAGTATATCGCGCAACCATTTTGATGACAACATACCTCAAACACACCGTTTGAATATGTCAGAATTTCGGCAGGAAATGACAGATAGTTGGGATTGATAGGAAGTAACCGCGAGGAAGTGACCAAAAATTGCCGGAGATCATTTTGGCACAAGCGAAGCAGGTCATCCCGAGATCTTTTTTTCACAGCTTGCATTGAGCTCAATATTACCAGCACTATGATGATGTTGTCACAGTTAAGCTTTGTGTATTTAGGTTGTCTCATATCCATTTTATTCATGGGGCGCTAAACTTTAATCTATAGCGAGCCTAGATTGTAATTTTTTTACAAGTCATTTTCCTTCACAAGTCATTTTTCTCCGAACTGCTCTAATGTCAATAAGTTATTTGCCAAAAATGCGGTTTTTGATAAGTTGCAGTATTCAGAAATTCCACGTACTACTTTTTTGTATAGCTTGTATAGGTTTTATTCTCAAAGTCGGTTTTCTCAGAGCACAACTGTAGTTGACCTTTTGGTGCATTTGCAAAATTTGAGGTGTCTTTCCCTTGACACTGTACAAAAGCGTGAGCTTCCAACGGTCCATTCGAAATTAATGCCTCTGCTGTGCTGTTCTGTCCTCAATGTTTCTCGAATATTTTCATGCAAGTAATAATTTCTTTGGTCGATAAGTCTACCTTTTACCTCCAGGAAATGTGAGAAATATGATGATGATGACACGTTATATCCGGCAAGCAGTCCTACCGCATGTTGTGACCAAGTCGTACCCAAGGACACTGGGTTATTGGCAAGGCTACTGCGCTGTACAATAGTATTGGACGGAAACCCATCTGTAACAGAGTCGAGTCATTGCTATATTTAATCCAAAATTGGAATCATTTCCTTTTTTCACCCTAATTGTAATCATATTTTAGTAGACTTGTTAGCCTCTCGTGGTTATTTTGTCGTCGCCAGGTTTATCTTATGTCTCTTTGTGTGTTGCACAAATATTATGTACTTCTTTTGCCACCGTAATTATGTAAATGTAATTTTTGACAATGTGTGAGTAGGGGGTACCCGGTAAAGAGGCTCTACTTTTTGGAGAACTCCACTTATTAATTAATTGTTCCATTTAAATATCTTAATTTATGTACTACTCTGATATGCATAAGTGGAAAATAAAATGAACTGAACTTAAAAATGGGTTGATTTGGCCACAGTGAAGAAAGATATCGGGGAAAAACTTTCTTGACAGTTTCTGTTTAACACACAGTAGATCAATAGATGTCATTTATTTGTACAGCATAATGGAAACACTGCCCAGATGCCGCCTGTTCGTACTTGGGGTACACCCACTGACATTCCACACTGCTTTCGGGCAGAGAACCGGAATGGTCAAGTTCGTATAAACAAAATTACACCTGGAAATTTTGACAAGATTTGGATTTGGACCAATACGATTTTCCCAAAGGCCCAAACATTAGAATGTTGAACCTGCCGAGAATTGCTTCTTTAAGTATATTGCATAATAGTAATACATTTTAAGAAAAAACTAAAAGAAACCCCAGCACCTCAAAAGTGCCGTTACCAATGCTTACACAAAATGCAAAGTTTATTCTGTTCAGTTGTGAATCTTTCTTAACACTGGATCTGCACCAAAGTCATAGTATATTGTAGAAATTGTTAGTTTCTGTGAAGAAAAACCAGTGGGTGCACGTGAAATCCTTATTAAAACACTTTCATTCTTTATCGAGCAAGTTGACAAGTCTACAAGCAGTGCACTCTAAAAACTCCCGGGTCAGATTGACCCAGAAGTTTTTGGAGTGTACGTTTACTAACACACCGTAACACAATAAAAATTTGTTCTCGCAGTAAACTAACCGCACTGGCCGTCAATGGCTCTTTGCTTGTCAGCATTTAATGTCTGTTCTTTAGCATAACAAAGAATTAATGATAGGACTTTAAGCAAAAGGTACCAAACCAACATAAAATGCTGTATATAAATTAAGATGAAATTAAAATATTACTTTCTTTTAATAAAAGCATGGAAATCTTCCGACTCGTTTCACCTCAACATATCAGAACATTAATACACCACAAACGAAATGAACAAATATAAATAATTATATTTACGTCAGAAGTATGTTTCCAATTACGAAATTTCATACAAGCACAAATTTACATTAAGTGTTGTTGGTCTTATAACGAAACTCCTCGATTACTGACGTCAAACAACGTTTGAGATGTCGAACCAATTCAACTGCCTTAGTTTTCAATTGATTGCAATCTGCATGCATGCATGCATGCTTTCCTTCTATCAATGTGTTTCACAGTTTCATTTAAAGGTCATTACTCAACCACTCTATATCATTTTGTTTGGATTTAAGCAAAATCTATCACTGGTTCTGCTTGAGCCATTCTTGCATTATGATAATAACCACAACAGAAAATATGGTAAGATAGTAAAATGCATTTCCTTTTCACCACATGCTAGTATGCAAGAGATCAATTTTCCAGGAAATCAAGGCCAAGGTAGGAGGATTAACCTGGGAACCTGCTATTGGGAACCGTTTTGAAGACTCGAGTTTTCTAATTTCAACCGTGATTCTTTGGATATTCTACAGTTTTCATTTCATTATGGTAACGATGTGTTACATTGTAAACCTATCAACATGCTACGTTTGCTCTGGTTTTCATTTCATTATGGTAACGATGTGTTACATTGTAAACCTATCAACATGCTACATTAGCTCTAGCAAATATCACGACCGAGAAGCCCTTGATTTATAAATTCAAACTTCATTTCGAACAAACATCCATGCAGTATCCAAGTCGACCGAAAGCAACTCCTGCAACTATTGGACTTGTAAGATAAAACGGATCAGTGAAATGATTCGGGACATGAGGCCCAACAATTCTGGATCAAAGTGATAAGAAAAAGACGGATGACAATCGTTTCAATAGGAATTCTAGCAGATCAGTTTTAACGGATAATTTGCATGTGTCTGTATTGAATTCACCTCTCCTGAGTAATTTGGTATTGTTTTCATCATGTGACAGTGACATCACTCAAAGGTACCATGATTCACGGAATCTTGAATCGATGAATGAGGAGAAGCTGACCTCAAGCACTTCTTAGCCCATCCTGGGGGGAGGGGAGGGGATGGTGGCAGTGGGGGCTGCAGGTGGATGGGGGAAACGATGGTCTAGAGCTTGGCAGATGCCATCAGCAGTTGGGTCATCTTCTGCAGTAGCATGAGGTTACCCTTGACTGTCAGACGACCTTTCATGAACGCCTGTTATGATAAGGTCAGGGGAAAAAAAACTTCTGTGATCAGATTCGGAGATTTAGAAAGGCCTCATATTTGTAAGATTGTTTGCTCGTCTTTTTTATTTTTAAATTAATTTGAGCCTAAACTTCGGGATCGACTTGTCAATTACAATGTATTAGTTTGGTTATATGTGACATGTTACAACAAAATGAGAGTAAAGTTGCATCTCACTCTTTCCTGTTTTAAGGGTTCAAAGTCATATGGAAACAGAAGTCAATTTTGAGGTTTTGTAATATTTGGAAAGAGTAAACTCGTCTTCTATTTAATTCCAAATATTTCACGGGATCGTGTAATGTTAAAATGTCACTTTCTCAGCAATTTTGATGATAGCATTATTCCTGCCTTGTCTGAAATAGTGAAAATATGCCGGGAACAAAGATGCAAAGCTGCCAGAATAATGCCACTTTATCCCCTTATACTTTAACCCTAAGTGTTCCATTTATATATACCGGTAGATACCACTGGAAAGCTCCTTTTCTGCTGAATTCACAATACCAATATCTCAATTTTTGTAAATTCTGACTTTCAGTTCATTTTGTGGTGACCAGTAACATGTTGATTTTCAATCATTTTCTAAGCTTGGGGATCACTTTCGACGCTTATGCTAATGTCTAAATGTCTTTGTAATAACAAATTCTAACAAACAAATAACAAATTTTACTATCAACACCTGTAAAGAAGAGCGAGACTAGATACAGTAACACAATCAAAATGGTACCGTATCTACATTGCAGAAACGGAACTCTACGAAATAAGTGTCATTTGGAATTATGACCACAATGATAGTGCAGTGCTGCAGAACAGAGGTAACAGCATTCACTTTCCGGATTGCTCCGGCCAAAGGAATTGGAGGCCAGCATCCAGAACACACACAAGAGATGCTGAGAAATAACTTGCCTGTTGAGGGTTGAGCTTGCCGACTGCTATGGCCACAAAGTCCTCATCTGACATCTTGACGGTAACATCAGCTTTGCCAGTTTTTGGAGCACCCTGATACACTGCACCGCCGGGAGTCTTCAGATCAACAGCTGAAAAGAAAAATACACAAAGTTACGAGACCAAAAAAGTTGGAACTTTGAAAAGTTTGGCCACAAATGCTATGAGACATACAATTTCACAGTAGCTGGCTTTTGTTTTAGGTACGAACCAACCATTTTGCAGGGTATCACTGGTCAGTCTAATAGTGGACAAAGAAAGTTCGACATTATTTAAGAGTTCTTTTTCAACTATTAGGTGCCCAAGGATTTAGTATATGGTATTACGCAGCCATTTTACCCAACGTCACCCCATAACTCAACAGGGAAATCTTTAACAGTGACCTAACCCCTACTCAGGGACACCTTTTTTTTCGGAATGGTTTTCTTTTTTACCAATCAGCCCCAAGAAATCCCCCCCTCCCCGAGGTCTTCAAAGTGTGAGTGACACCTCAAATACAATCTGGGGAGGAACCTTGGATGACCGGAAAGGGAGGAAAGGGGGAACAACCGATGAGTTCACATTCAAGAAAAGGAGAAATCACTTACTCCACTGGCTGGCTGGCTTGCCTCCTTTGGAGATGTTGTACAAGAACACGCCCTTCACTTTCTTGACCATGTCAGTCTGGATGGAAAGCTGACGACCCATTTCCTGGAAGAGCAGGTCAGACTGCAGGCCACTGGTCACTGACGACTACCGGCGAGAAGAAATAAAAAGGCCAAAAATTACTAAAAAGGTGACCAAAAAAATGCCAAGATTTGGTGCTAAAAGTAATTAACAACCCAGGAGCAGACCAAATGCCACATGTTCATGTTGAGGCACGAGCAAAAGCAAAGCATTTTTGACATCACAAACCATTCTCCAGCATATAAACTGGCCTTCAGAAAGTATCACACACACGGAGCCTGTTCCCATTAAGTACAGACAATGCTGCACCTGGATTGCAAATTCCATTTAACAGTTCACCAACGGGAAAAAATATTTTCATTACGAATGTGACATTTATGCACGATCCAAGCAAAGATTGCCGAGGTCACATTCAGAGTAAGTTGAACAAAAAAAAAAGAGGACTTCGATTGAGCGTAATGTTGCCAAAGAATGAAAAATAGCACCTCGGAGCCAGTGCGTAGTCGACTTACTTCGGCGGCTGCTGGCTGGGGAGCAAGGTTGATCAGGTCCACATAGGCCCCAGAGATAATGACAGATCCTGTCTCAGCCACCTGGGAACAAAGTTGGCCAAATAAAAAAGGACACTGACCTCTCATCCCTCAAATGGATTTGACTGCTGCATCTGAAAAGGGGGCTTGTGCCCAAAACTTCCTCAAAGCGGAGTTTTTCTTTTTTAAGGGAACTGTTGGATTTGAGTTTCTGGTAGTGACTAATGATTTTTGTAATTTCGGTGCACTATTTTTTTCTGAAAACTCTTAGGTTGTAGTAGAGAAAAAGGTTAACCACATCCTGCCAGGGGCATTTATGAATGTTGACTCTGCTGGGCCAGAGTATTTTTCATTTTTTTTTTTTTTCAAAATTCTTTATAAATTCATATCTTCATTTACTGGACACTTATGCCCACGTAAAGAATATGTGCCCGAAACCGGGCTCCCCGGCAGCAAGTGGTTAATTGTGCATTACTCTTGGATCATGTTGCATGAACGATCAACTGTTACCTTTCTGCCATCTTGAAATAACTACTGGATGCAAGACTAGCCTCTCACACTCATCACGAGTATGCTCTTATCCACCTGTGGGTCGCACTCTAACCGTTCATGCATTTAGGGGTATACCCATGTTAAAATGAGTCTTTATGAACAAGCTCAAAGGCAGCCACATTTTTAAGAATTTTAAAAGATTCAAAGTAACAATCAAATCTCAGATTTGGTAGTTTTAGAGATTTTATTTACTGTTTTGGGGAAGAACATTTAAATATTTTGTTGTTACTTTTTAAACATCATACCTTGGTCTGGAAGTGTATACGGTTGCCTTCTCTCCACATGTCTGTTTGAATTGTCTGGCCGGGCACAATGGGCTTGGAGAAGCGGCACTACAGAAGAATGTGAAAGGAATGTTAGCTCCTCTCATTTCAGAAATCACCGCTTCAGGAGGGACAGTATGCAAGATGTGGAAACTGACCTTGACAGCCTTGAATTTGGTGACGTCATCGTCGGCGTACTGCTTCAGGACGTGACGACAGGAAAAGCCGAAGGTGCAGAGGCCATGTAAGATGGGTTTATCAAAACCTGGCCCAGATAATGAAGGTGGGGAAAGCAAAACGACTGGCCGTGTTAGAAAATGAAGGTTTCTCTGAGACCAAGTTACCATCGAAAAAAAAAAAAAAAAAAGGAAATGTGGTAAATTATCCTGCTTGGGAAGACAGAACTAGAGAATCTTTCATAAACTTCAGTACTGTTACATATCAAGCAGGTTTTCAGTTCAATAATCAGATGAAAGAACTCAGACTTTTTAAAATTACTCTTCACATTAGGGGAATATTTATCATTATACCCTCCCCGGAATATTTATCATTATACCCTCACTGGCAACGAAGAGACAGCTAGAGGGACATTTGTCAACCGGGGTTGTGCACTGGCCAGCGCACATGCGATGATCATACTTTCAAATGGAAATTGGTTGCAAGAGCTCCCCCTGCTGGACAATCTTTGCATTGTAAAAACACGCCCTCTCTCATCCCAGCTTAAAGCAGGTATCCTGCAAAGCTTTGGGTTTATTCAAAATGAACGAATGCACACCCAGTCCCATTTATTCATGATGCCATCTCCCCAAACTCACCTCCCATGGCTGCAAATGTAGGATCAATGTGGAGCGGGTTGGTATCTCCTGACAGGCGATAGAGGGCAGCCTGATCAAAGGAGGTGACTTGCTTGACGGAGGCATCGGGAGGACGTGACGGGGGCTCAACTGTTGGCTAGGCAAAAAAAACAAAGCAAAACGAGAATGAAATAAGGTCTATGCATACAATTATTTCAGCATGTTTATTTAACCAATGTAGACTTATCACTCCAGCTGTTCTCCCCTGGGCCCCTTATGACTGCTCTTGTGGTGTTATGTACGACTACTCTTGTGACAGGTCTTGTGACTGCTCTCATGGTCTTATGACTGCTCTTAAGGTCTTATGACTGCTCTTGTGGTGTTATGTATGACTACTCTTGTGACAGGTCTTGTGACTACTCTCATGGTCTTATCCCTGGTCTTGTGACTGCTCTTATGACAGGTCTTGTGACTGCTCTCATGGTCTTATGACTGCTCTTGTGGTGTTATGTATGACTACTCTTGTGACAGGTCTTGTGACTGCTCTCATGGTCTTATCCCTGGTCTTGTGACTGCTCTTATGACAGGTCTTGTGACTGCTCTCATGGTCTTATCCCTGGTCTTGTGACTGCTCTTATGACATGGCTTGTGACCACTCTTTGGTCTTATGTCTGGTCTTGTGACTGATTTTGTAACAGGTCTTGTGACTGGTCTTCTGATGGCCTCAACCTACGTCACTTGTCCATCATACCTTGACCTTACTTGAGGTTTTCTTTCCACCAAAGCCACCTGCTCCTACCAGGAAAATGGAAGCCTGGTTGGAACACACCAGTTGCCTGTTCTGATCGTAAGCCTTGGCTGACAAAGTAAAAACACAAAAAGAACAACTAGAACGGGGAGCTGGAAATCCAAGCAAGGATCTCCCAAAAAAATCAGAGTTATACTGCTCTGCTGGCAGGTTTACTTAAAGCATATAAACCAGGAAGAATTCTATCCACGAAGAACACCAAGTGTTTCTTTGCAGTGACATATCAACCATCAGAAAGGATTACACATCCCCAGAAGTCAAATTTAGCACGAAACACATAGAAGCAGTTACTTGGAAAGCACTGCAAACATTCAAAGTTTTGTTCGTGTGCTAGCTATAGAGTCATGGGTGGGATTCATCAATATAACTACAAACATGAAACATGTTATGAGTTATCAATGGTCATGTGCAAGATAATCAACACTTTGGTATCAATGCTTAATAAAAAGTCCTGACGACTTACTGTACATTTATGCCACCAATCAACAGTGTGCAAATGACCACACGGGATGGTTTGTGCACTGGTAACAGCTATTGGTACAGCAATATACTCAAATACGGCTCATAACAATACAACAGTAATATTAAAGAAAGCCTAAGTCATACCAATTAGCCCATGGCTTTGAACAACGCTAGGTCGACATACAATGTGAAAATCAAAACCAAAGCCAAAAGTACTCATTTTCAAACTAAGTGGCTTACATTCCACCACGATGAGGGCACCAGAGCGTTTATCCAGAATATCGACGATCTCTGACTCGGCAGACAGGGTTCCAGATGTAGGGATGGGTTGGTACACTTCCAGGAACTGCTCCCCGTGAAGAATCTGAGGGCAGGAACGATCAGATTTGTCTAAATTGTTCTTAACGTCAACCCCGACAGAATGTGTCCACGCAGGAATCTTTAGCAAAAATACCTGGGAATTTCTCTACTTGTAGTTATGTAAGTTAAAGTGATGTTTCTCAGAATCCAGCATTAACTGTTTTAAAGGATCTCTCACAGGAAATATTCATGGATTTTATCTCCCTCCCCATCAAGAAGCAAGAAATAGACAAATAGGTTGATTAGGCTAAAATTTAGCGGTTAGTAGAGCCCCCGCATAATTTACTGGAGGTTCCATGTTCCCATCAGCTTGGCTCAAATTTCTCTGCTCCATTGAAAAATGTAAAGACCTGTTTTTCCTTTATCTTTCTACACATCAGTTCAAGGCAGTGCTGCAGTCAAGTCTACCCATGCTCCTTGCGAGCTCGGTAGTCTTAAATCGAGTCACAGGCTTATTCAACTTTACCTTGGTAATGTCAATACTCTCCAAACCAGGTAAAGTCCCTGTGAAGAGCTTGCCCATGCCTGACTGGCCCAGGAGTACACCAAAGGACGGCAAGGTGCAGAAGTCCTCATTCAGCTCAAAGAGGAACTTCAGGTGTCCTGGTTGCACTGTGGAAGCACCCACTGTACATCACCAAAAAGACAGACATTACTTCTAGGGAAGCCATATTTGATCACGTTCCCTGAATCTATCATATTCTAGTAACCTGGTCAAAGGGCTGGTGCCCAACTATTTGGGGATCCAAACCTGTGGCTCAAAACATTTTGATATAATTCATCAGAAATTTTAAATTATTCAAAATGCAAAACTGGCTTAACTTTGTAATTAACATTTATTTCATCACCGTTATTTTTACCCCCAGGTTCCAATAATGAAAACATAATTTACTTTCAATTCAAGATGTCTGACATGAATACTGTCTATTGGATCATGTGTGATCAGGTACCAAAAACAGTTTGAGCGCATCCATTCATGCAGTCTGTGTATAAATTTAATGTGCAAATGTCCAACACGATTACCCAATCACGATCCCACAACAAATTACCTCCAAGGGCATAGAGGATGACGTCATTCGGTGTGATAGTGAACGGAGGGGATGGGAACTTCTGACCAACAGCAAGATCCTATACAGACAAATTATACCAAAAAAAAAAAGGATTGTGTGTCACCAAGCACTGATGTTGTGATCAAATCTCTATACATACTTTACAGAAAACTCAAGCACTTTCCAAATTAATGAGCATTGATGTCCATGCATGTGGTGGTCAAGCACTTGACACACAACACAGGTAGATTGCATGGAATATGCCACTCAAGCAATTTGCATATATATGCTCAAGTGGATATGGTGCCCAAGTGCTTTACATTTTACACATAAGCACAGGTGGAAAAAAACACTCAAGTGTTTTTAACGGCGCTTTTATATATATTAACTTTGGGTTCAGCATGTGTTTTATTGAACCATAAAAGCAGTGAGATATACATGTATTTTCATAATTTCTCTTTGCTTTAGTGCCAGTTTTCTTACATTAGGAAGTCCATAGTTAAATCTATGGTTCTCATGTCTTTTAACTTTGAGGGGCTAAAACAGTTAGCTTGGGGGGGGGGGAGTGAGTGAAACAATGACTTGCTTTCCCCAGAATTTTTAAGATTATAGTCTCTTTCTCAGCGGACAATTTCAATCACGGTTGGTGGCATAACTTCCCCCCCCCGGCTGGAACCAGAACGAAGGGTTGGAAACGAGACCAAAAAAATTAACCACCGCTGTCCTTTACATACCGGGTTGATAACACTGCCCCCTGCAGCTGTGGTGGACCTGACAATATTGCGTTTCCCAGGCTGGCTCTTAGCCTTCTCGAGGGCTTGCACCACCAGCATGGTGCTCTCTGTTACAGAAATAAACTAATTTTGCATTAGTTCCGGCAGTTTCAAGATATGGCCCTTTTCTGCCAAACTTCAGCTGCATCGGAAGTACAGCCAACATTGCTATTTAGTGTAACACCACTATAACAAACATGACTGGGTTCACATAAATTTGGTGATTTGGTGGAGCAGTCCTTTGGTATAGCGAATTTCAATTGCCGATGGCACCTGTTTCTGGCTCTATGTAGGAACCGCATCACAGCAGTGAAGCCACAATGGTATATGTCCAAAGTCACCAATATGAGAAATGTCAGCTTAAGGTAAGCGTTCTTGACGACTGAAACTGCTTATTACGTAGATTTCTGTGAGTCAAGTTATGACAGCTCCTCTTTCTACCTGTGAATCTTCTGCTTTGATGAATCTCGTTTGAGGTTTTGAAGTAAACATCCTTGCCTTTAAAGCCATAATGTGAAGCAAGATTTTCCGTATAGTCACTCAGCATTTTACGTACTAGGTGGCCAGTTCACATGACTCCCCTGCATGCTTACATTGTACATATAGGCTGTACATATACCCACAAATGGTACTGAATGCTCTACATATTGGCCATTAATCCTTTGTAAGAGTAAGATTTTACCTATAGTAAGGTTTCAATGAGCGTAAAAAGTTTAAATAAAAATTAGAGTCGAGGGGAATGTTCGGTATGTCTAATTGTTCGCTATAGCAGTGCTCCAAACAGCACTGTCCTGTACCAGCATTCCAGAAAGAACCGACTGTCAAGAATCTTTCGTTACCTCCTACTCCACTCGGGTAGTCACAATCACCCATGTCACACACTGAGGACCAGTTGTCTCGAACTGAGTAGAGGGGAAAAAACAAGCCCAAATCTGAAGACTAAACATTCAGACTGAATTCAAAGACACACAACACTGTGCAAATCAGATCTCATGTATAATAAGCATGGCATGGCTTAAGATCCACTAATTCCTGATGTGATTGTTAGGGCATTACCTGCTTCCGGGGTGAGTGGTTCTCCTTCAGTAGAGCAGACAACTCCTCCGCCTCGCTGGATTTTGACTGGAATGAAAATAAACTTACAAGCAACAGGCCAGGCCAATGCGTCTTTCTCATGATTCACCTTTGCACTGTTTGCACAGCGCCAGACAGTCAACATTTCAATCCACGGCCCTATTACACATGCACAGATATCACATGTTGATTGATTGATTGATTAGGACCGCAAGGCCAACTCTACTGAAAATATATTTGCTAAGGTCAATCCACACTTGCAACAACCACAACATGAATTGTTTACTGTCATAGTATATTTAAATGGGCCTACACAGCGAAGTTCAGAATAGATTTTGAGGGTTCGGTACAGTTATAACAATGAAGTGATAACCGGTCCATCCGTGTCAAAGTAAACCTTTCGCACAGAAAACTGCTGGTGAATGTAAACTTCAACCTCAGCGTACTGGCAAAGTGCAAAAACAGTGCCAAAAGATGAGAAAATGCCACAACGTTACTGAAAATGTTACATGCATAACGCGTCATGTTTTTTGCATACTCATAGGGTATACAAATGGGCAGCGTGGTCAAGTTAACACGGCTGCATTTACAGGTAGGTGGAGCTTTTCTGCTCAAAATCCATACCTTGGCCAACCCAGCCTGCCCCAGCTTCAAATATGCCACGGGTCTGCGTGCAATCCTCGTGGCACAGGTAAAGCACGACGGGAGCAATGTACTCTGACTTCATCAAGTTGAAAACCTCTGCAAGGAAACAAGGACAGGACAGAACAGACCATCAGTCACGCCACAAGTCAGTGATGCAACACACAATGACTGCCCTCAACATGATAATTCTGCCAGTGCCGGGGCAACCAAAATAGCCAAAAGAGCCTTCTGCCAACCACCATAAGGGTCATATGACTCAACATTAATGTTGACTTCAGTAAGAAATATTAGAAATAAAAACTGCAAAGATATCTTATCTAAGTAAGGCTCGTAAATTGTTAAATAAAAAAAAAATCGTTTTGAAAAGTAATCCATAACCTTTCGATAGTCTTTCACTTAAAAAGTATTAAAATCTCCAAATAATGACTCCTATGGCCATGATATTGCAATCGATATAATGACTTCTTAAACTTCCTCTTTTTTAACCAAGAGTAAATCCCTTTCTTGGGAAATAAAACCATAAAATAATCTGATTAAATTTCAAGATTTTTAAAAGCTACAAACTCTGTCCCTTGACCTCACCTTCAGGCATGACATCTTCTGTGAGCCTAGATCCAGCTATGGGGGCAATGGTGTTACAGGTGATGTTGTATTTGGCTCCCTCTATTGACACGGTGTTGGCCAACCCAACAAGACCCATCTTGGCTGTGTGGCAGACAACATGACAGACACATTTTGAATGGATAGCTGAGCAGGCTTGATCAAAGGAATTTTCAAGGCACCTTGCAAATGTGCAAACAACATCAAATTACTGCAATGCGAAAGCCTAGAGTTGAGAGAGAAAACTCAAAAGCAAAACAAAAACGCTGTGAACAGTTCAGTAAATTTAGGATTACACATTTAAATGAGCTTTCAGACAAAAAAAATCACCTCTAGCATCAATGGTGTAATAACAAAGAATTTGCACAGTGAAGACCAAGGGAGATGAGAAATTTGGAACAATCAAATTTATGCTTGCCACAACCCCCCTACCCCCAATCCCCCCCCCCCCTCCAAATTCTACAATTGTGAGAAGTCACCTGCACTGTAGTTGGCCTGGCCAAAGTTCCCGTACAGTCCTGCTGCCGATGAGGTCATGATAATGCGGCCGTAGTGTTGCTTCTTCATGTGCGGCCATGCAGCCCGGGTGACAAGGAACGATCCTCGCAAGTGCACCTTATGGATCAGATCTGCAGGGGGTGGGGTTGTGGAAACATGAAACGAGCAGAGAGGAGAACATGTGTATGGTATTTCATACTGCCGGCACTGCAGATGGAACATGCAGAAAATACGAATGCCAGCCCAGGATGGATACATATGAGCATGCCATTTTAGCAGGCAGGGCACCTGACAAACTTTCAACGGAATGTGCACAATTCTATTTCACCCCGAATAGGAGGCAATGTTAGGATTTCCCATAGGGTACTGATATGTGTGAGGGGGTCCAACAAAATTTGCCGAAATTCCAGTGTCTAAAAAACAGAAGTGAATTTTCCAAAAGTCCTAAAATCAGTCTACAAGTACATTTACTCAAAATGTTCCCTCTAAAATAGATTGATCTTGGGTTCCGTGTCCCTCCTTACCATTCTGAACAATTTACAGCTTATCTATTGCAAAATTTCTAAGTTTTTTAGCCTTACATCTTTGTCCATTTTAAGTGTGAGGTGGTAAAATTCCACAGAAAAGCTAAAAGCTGGTCACTCAAATCAGTGAGGTGGGCCGCCTCACACTCAAATAGGTAGGGAAACCATGAGAAATCGCTCAATGGATTTTTGGAAGGCAAACCAGAACCACCCGGGGATATATCATCAACCCACCTGGAGTCACCCATGCACCCCACATACCAGTATGTGAGCTCTTCACGCCCAGACATTGAGCCAAGAGTGGAAACAGTACCTTCAATATAAAGTAATAGTGGAGGTTTGCATCTTCAACTCGAATTCAACATTTGTCGGGAGGAATTTTTCTCCTTTTTTTTTCTTACACTGATTTAATTTTATTTATTTTATTTATCCTGGGTATGCCCAAACAGTTCACTAAAACTGGTTTCCACTGGGACCCTGCAAAAGCTCCTAAAAATGATGCACATACAATGCAAACAAAACGTTAAAATTAGACACCTTCACAATTGTATACAAATGCTAACTCTAACAGGGTACACCAAAACACATGGAACATCAACATGATGAAATTTGTTGACAAATTGTATACAAATGCTAACTCTAAGAGGGTACACCAAATCACATGGAACATCAACATGATGAAATTTGACAAATTGTATACAAATGCTAACTCTAACAGGGTACACCAAATCACATGGAACATCAACATGATGAAATTTGTTGACAAATTGTATACAAATGCTAACTCTAACAGGGTACACCAAATCACATGGAGCATTAACATGACGTAATTTGTTGACAAAGCACATGAAATTTGAAGACAAAGCACATGCAAAATGCACAATTAAAGAAAAACAATAAGTATAATACTGCAATAATGACACTCATGCCTATTTGGGATGAGCGAAAATCCTCTAAAACCAAACTTTTTTTTGTGGGAAAAAAACAGAAGAATTCCCTTCCAGGTCCTGGATGAAAACTTAATTTCAAGCAACCAAGTCGCACAACTCCTTAGATTCACCTTTCCTCCCTCAAATTTGCAATCCATTAATGTTATGTACATGCACATGTTTGACAAAGTGCCGATTTGAATAAGCTCAAAGAAGACATAGTTCTAAGTTGTGCATTCAGGCTATTTCAGATACGGTAACAATCCCAGATACAGCAAAGCTTGAGGTGTAAGAATCCTTTCGTGCAAAAGGAATTTTCAGTGTCTTCTCCCCAGATTGACAAGTTCCTCAGCCTTGAGCAAGTGGTGTAAATAGACAGCTTTCTTATAATCAACTCTCGATGGATAGGGAAGCCAGTCAAGTTTTTGAAACATGTCAGCTGAGGGAGTTTGGAAGTCACGTTTTAGTATTATTCTCGATGTACGTTTGAGGCGTTTATTTAAGACAGCGTTATGACATTTGCATCGGTCACCCCACACTGTGCAACAGTAACCTAGATTAGGCATGACTAAACTTAGACATAGAGTGGGCATGTGCCTTTGTGTTATACATGTACATAGTCCCGAATTCTCTTAAACATAGCTAGTCTATGCTTGATGGTGCCTTTAGTAATCCTGCGGGAATGGAAGTAGTGACATGAATGGTTACAAAGACTGAAGATGAATTGGTCAATGAGTCTGTAATACACGATACTCACCCCAGTCTGTGTCACTAATTCTAGCAAAGGAGCGATCCCGGAGGATTCCTGCATTGTTGATCACAATATCTGGGGGGAAATCAAGAACAAATCCTGAACTACACAACACTGACCACATTGAGAGCATAAAGAGTGAACTTTGACCAAAAAAATTGCTCAAATCATCAAATTATAATTGTTAACTTCATGTAAATTAATGATGCAAGGTATGTAATAAAGTAATATTGTTTGCACATAAAACTGAAGGAATATATCTTATTTAAAGCAGTTCAAATGATAAGACTTTGTCTCATAAAAGAAAGGAAATGTAGTTTTACCAATTCGGCCAAAGTTATCCAATGCAGTCTGGACAAGCTTTTCTCCATTTTCAACAGAGTCTAAAGAATGGAAGAAATTTTAATCATTTATTGCTTAAAGACAGAATGTACATGTACATGATTTCTATTGACAAAATGGTATACATGTTTTTATGTACAGATAAAATGCACAAAAATGAGTAGTTATCCAGCATTTTAAGTTCAATTAACATAACCTATTGATACATAATTAGTGCCGTCAGGCAAAAACATACCATTCATGCACATGTTTTTCATCTTTGCAACTAGCACATTCAAAGGAGATGATCCTCTTCGGCCATTTTTGCGAACTCACAAAATATGCATCAGGTGGAAAGGGATTCGCGGCCCTTTTGTGCTTTTTATACATGTAGGTGTTTCAGGTCAAATATCCACTGTATTAGGCGGAATGTCAAATTAGGTATTTCAAATGTCAACAGGCCAACCAAATGTCCACACAATAGGATAAAGCCAGAGCAAAATTCCACCTAGCCTTGTCAATATCACAACAGATATTCAAATGTCAATAGGGAAATCAAAATATCCACATAAAAAATTGTTATGTAACCAAGTGACCACTGGTGCATAACTTCACTGACGGGTACATCAAATGCAGTATTGGTCATTCAAATATCCCAAACAAATGTCAGGTAGCTATCATGTTGAAGGCTCTAGAAGTTAAGCACAATATGCCCTACCAGAAGATTCCCCAACGTTGACAAGCAGTGACTTTACACTGCCTGTAACCATGGTGAGGACTATGTTGAACTGGCAAGGCTTCTTGGCATCAAGAAGAACACTGCTTATGCCATCATCCATAGAACCATGGACGTAGAAAGCACTGATGCCAGAGATGGTGTGATTTCTCTGCCACGTGGGGGTGCACGACGTACATTAGTGACTAATGAGATCAGAGAAACAGTATGGCAGTGCAGATAGTGGAAGAACATCACAAGTTCTCTCTCCTGCAAATCCACTCGAGCTCCGGGTACGTCTGCCAAATGCTGCTCACATCTCTCGCACCACATTGGCAAATGTGTTGACTGCACAGCTCATCGTCATCAAGCGTTGGCAAAGATTGCCGAGCAGAATGTGGGTGTGATCACTCCTCAAATGACCCAGAACTTCTTCCGACGAATGCAAGGATACATCCCAGCTTGCATAGGGCAGCAGGACATTTTCTCGTGAACTCATAACCTCAAATCTTGTGAAGACTCACTTCAATGAAATGAACTATTTCCAGTACATTTCATTTTGAACCTTTAGCTGACAGATCGCCTCTCATCTTTATTTGTCCATGTCAAAACCTGAACTTGAAGCCAATGTTTATGTAAAATTTCATTTCAAAATACATTTGGAATAATTTTTGAACTGGACAGCAATGACCTCATCTGGAAGGCATTTCAAAGACTGGTGTAAAGAAAAGATACAGGCCTTAGTAGCAATTGGTAAATATCTACCACAATTTTCAGGTGAAAGTACCATCTCAAATCCTGATCTCTTCAAACAACCACTCATTTGAAATCACTATGTAACATTTGATTTCCCTAGTGGATGTTTGTTTTTTCTAAGTAGATATTTGACCCAATCAGTGGATATTTGATTTACCTATTTGTATACTGTGATACCTAGTGGAAATCTGAGTGACCCATTTGGACTCGTCATATTCTTGACATGTGATCTATGTTAATGATTATTGTACAAGTGTGGATAGTTGACCTGAAAAACCTATATAAAACTGTGAAAAGTGACCATTGCCAATCATGAAACTGTTGACAAAAAAGTTAGATGATAACTACGAAAATTCAGGGAAAATTATTGATATGGAGCAGTGCGGTCATCCAGGATCCTCGCAAAATGACAGGTACTGCGCCGGTGAAAACAGCTACCATGGGGACGTACGCACGCACCAGCCCGTCCGAAGATCGGGTTACACAATCTTTCCTTTGATCTGTATGTACCACGAGCTTATTGCAGTGGTTTTCACCGGCGCGGTGTGGTTGCCACATGTACCCGGAATTTTGTGAAACTCCCAGATGTCCACGCTACCCCATATCTTCAGTGACTGACCGTAATTGGCTACTGCTTTGCCTCCTTTGGCTCGGATCTCCTCTACGACCTTGTCCGCCATCTTGGTGCCCTCTCCTTTTCCATGCCTGTCCACTCCGAGGTCATTCACTACGCAGCAATCAAAGAAATATTTTAATAAATGTTTTTGATTTACCAGGGATTGGCCCTTTGGATCTTAAGAGAATGTACACCTTTCAAGCCATGTCACAACTTTGCAAGCACCACAGAGCTGTACTGAATTACTAGAGCACTAAGTTGTTATTTCCAACACGGAGAATATTTGAAGAAACCTGGGCAGAAATTTTTGAAATCCTGGGCATATATGTAGTTTTAACATAATTAAATAAGATGGAACACATTCCAAATTGTTTAACACACATCCCAAATTTAACACACTTTTATTATTTCTGATCAAACCACAGCAAAGCTCAAAAGGACAATAATCAACACATTTATAATGGCAATTGTAAATGTAAACTAAAAGCAGATTTGCAAAAGGTCATCAACAAATTCTTCAATCCATAGTCAACAAATGAGTAAATTCTATAAAGGAAAAACAGACACAGAATGGTTTTAATTCTTACCAACTACAGAGGCACCTCGGGCAGCAAACATCAAGGCATACACCTTTCCAAGACCTAAACAGAAAAATTGGAGGGTTTTAGAAGTTACTTTTTTTTAAACAATATAGAATCGATACTATCTTTTAAGTTTAGGACATGCATCCTCTGAAAGAAGTGGCAAGTTAGAAATAAAAAGTCTGTTGACTTCAACAACTAGTGATTTCTTTGGCTTCTTGCCTACCGTACCAATATGCTTTTCTAAACCATGAAAATGATCTTAACCAAAGCCTTTGGTCTGTGTGAAAAGTTACATTGAATTAAAATGTGCATGAAGACTTGTTAAGATTCCAAAACTACATGTACACTTCAACTTCATGCAAAATTCGGGGGGGGGGGGAAATTTTCATGTGACCCCACTCAGAGAACTGAATTCCCAAACTACATGTAAGTCCATCTGTTGACATTTATTTCTATCAACCCACTACATATTTAATGACGAGCAAGAGATCTAACAGTGACTCAGAGGTTTTACTGAACCAATTCTGTGAGGCACTTCCATGACAAGCAAAGGGGAAACAAAAAAGCAGAAGTTTGTTTTCTTGTGTTTTTATATTCTATTTTCTCCTCCAAAATAGGAGCCTCGGGGAACAGCAACTTATGAAGGCTCAAAAATCATGCCTGAGAGTCCCTACCTGTTAATTTTGGACATAAACTACGCATGGCTGTTTTCCATCTACATGTATGCTTTTAAACAAGCAGCACACTCTCAAGACAAACAACAAATTTGTTTGTCTTTTAAGCCGCGTTGTGTGGTGAATTTCTGAGAAAATCGTCATTCTTTTGCCATTCATTTTCGAAAACCTTGCCAGCTCAGCAAAGTGAGTGGTAATTTTTAGTCTTTAGACTCGATATGAACGTTGTCATAAGGTTTCCAGTGGATTCAGGTCATAAATTTAAGAGTTTGTCATTAAAGGTTTTTTTTTTTACATGATTAGGACTTTCGCCTCTTTACTGATGAGGGCGCTGGGCGCGTGCATATATGTGTAGCTCATTTATCCGTTCCTTTTGACCAGATTGTTATTTATTATCTTTTGAGACAGTTCAGAGCAACAGATTTAAGTTTTGAATAGTTGTACTGGTGTAAGTAAGCAGGCACACATGGGACTTAGATATGGATACATCATTTAGAAGTATTTATATTTTTATATAGTTGAACCACTGTCACAACTGTCACCACAGCCACTGTCACCGTCAATACCACCACCACCACAGCAGCTTCCTACTGTCAAACTCAACCGCTACTGCTACTCTACGACGCCACGCTGCTGTGTTTCTGCGCTACCTCTGTATTTAAGTCACCTGGTCATAACTGAATCACAACTTTTTATCATCCAACTTCAGACTCTGTTATTGTATAGCCACCCAAACTTGCCACATCATTCCAGCAAATAAAGTGACATTCAAGTTACATGTACATGTAATGGACATTATTTGATTACTAATCCTGGTGCGTGTCATTGCTGAGCCACACTGTGTGACGATCTTCAGCGCAAAAGGCTACAGCTATTATGCAAAAAGGTTAAGGGCCTCGTCAAAAGTTTTGTTTTAGATACACGTACCGCAAGTCTAAACCAATACGATAGTGTTCCTTGAAATTGTTCCAACTCCACAAAAACTGTGCAGTAACCTAATGACATCAGTACCTTGAGCATCGGTTGTGATGGATAAGTGCGCTATACAAATATCCATTATTATTATTGTTATTATTATTATTAGTGTTTGCTGAACTAGAACATTGTACCCCCTGTATTCAAGTAAGAATGGCCACGCTGTAAGCTGGATCCTGTAGGCTTAGTACGTACTATGTACATGTAGGTACTTGTTATATCAGAAGAGATGTATTGCACAATCACACTCACATCGATGCCAATGACCAATCACCGTGTTGCTTTCATTTGCAGGTGACAGGAAAAAAACCAGAAAAAGACTGGAGCTTCGTTGCAATTACCGTAGCTGCTGACAACAGTGTCATTGAGAAAGTACACGCTATTGATCTTCAGTGGTATGGATGGGCAAAGAACTTTTGCATTTCGGAGTATGAGGTGGATCATCCAGGGAGTGGTTTTTTTTTCAATTGAGCTCGACTTTCGCCATTTTATTGAGACATAAGGTGCATAAACCTCCCCACATCTAGCCTCATCAAGAAAGGACAAGAAGTCATATAAAATCTTGTGCATATACTCCTGATGGCAGTATAAAGTTGGCTGACCACTGTAGCCAGTAAGCACTTTATATGCTCTGACATTTTGCAATAGAGAGTTAAACATATCCTTAAAGTTTGTAAAACCTTGCAATTTAGGAAGTAGGCCTAGCACATGGAGAAAAACCTAAGGTGAATTTGACCTGATCCATTCCGCAATTCCTAATTATCAAAGGGTTAAACACAACCACCTCCCGGTCAAGCCAACTGACAAATAACTAAAATACTAAAACTACAGAAAACAAATAGGGGCTTCATTTACCTGCACCATTGATACCAGTAAACTGTGCAACCCCCACCGTCAATCTAAGCTCAGCCATTTTTAGTAGGATACCGGTAGATGTTACATCAGCCAGCACCAGCAAAAAGTATCAGAATATTGCTTAACCGATTTAGCTGGCTACAAGTAAAAGTGCCCTCTTTGAAGCATACATGTAGGTACATGAGTACGCCTAACATGCCCAAAGGTTATTAGACGGACCAATCCATTCATTAAGCTCTGCCCCATTGTTTTCCAACCAATCACATGTCCAGCATGCATGCACTAAAGTACAAAATGCGTGCATGCGTGTATGATACATATGCGCGGCTGCAACACGTACCAGTATTGTATTATTGGATAAGAGCACATGCTGGGTTCTCACGAGCGCAGTGGGCGGGACTCAGATCAGTCTATTACCTCCTGAATCGGGCAGGGTCTATGGTCGATCTAACACCTGCCATGCTAGCTGGCCTGTCTTGAGATCATGATATGCTCTCAGCGTCTTAGCTGGGTTTGATTCCCATATTTGACGGTGATCATGGTATGGAAGAATAGGCCTACATAGGAAGCGACTTCATACTAGCCCGTGAAACCTGGTGCGCTACTTTTTTTCAGTAGCTGGGGTGACGAATGATTCATGAAGAGGGGACAATGCAATACACCATTTAAGACATTT